TATGGCAAACCACCCACTCCCTTCTAACACTGCCACCAGTCACTGTTCAGCCATACTAAGAAGACAGATTCTACATCTTTAGGGAACAGTAGAGTCCACCTGCAATGCAGGAGACCACCTGAAATGCAGGAGACCTGGGTTTGATCCCTGGGTCAGGATGGTCCCCTGGAGAAGAAAAGGCAACCCACTCCAGTATTCTTGCTTGGAGAATCCCATGGATAGAGGAGGTCGGTGGGCTACAGTCCAGGGGGTCGCAGAATCAGACACAACTGAGCAACTAACACTTTACTTTATCTTGGAGAATCATTATTTGTGACAAGTATTCAGTTCAGTCGCTCAGTCGTGTCTGACTCTTTGCGACCCCATGGACTGCAGCACGCCAGGCCTCCCTGTCCATCACCAAGTCCCGGAGTCCACCCAAACCCATGTCCATTGAGTCGGTGATGCCATCCAACCATCTCATCCTCTGTCGTCCCCTTCTCCTCCTGCCCCCAATCCTTCCCAGCATTAGGGTCTTTTCCAATGAGTTAATTCTTCACATCAGGTGGCCAAAGCATTGGAGTTTCAGCTTCAACATCAGTCCTTCCAATGAACACCCAGGACTGATCTCCTTTAGGATAGACTAGTTGGATCTCCTTGCAGTCCAAGGGACTCTCAAGAGTCTTCTCCAACACCACAGTTCAAAAGCATCAATTCTTCTGTGCTCAGCTTTCTTTATAGTCCAACTCTCACATCCATACATGACCACTGGAAAAACCACAGCCTTGACTAGACGGACCTTTCTTGACAAAGTAATGTCTCTGCTTTTTAGTATGTTGTCTAGGTTGGTCATAACTTTCCTTCCAAGGAGTAAGCATCTTTTAAGTGTACCATACAAGATATTAGCAATAAGGGAAACTGAGGGGTGATGGAAGGAGATGGAAGGGAACTGCCAGGACTTTCTGCTCAATTTTTCCATAAATCTAAAACTGCTCCAAAAAGTGAAGTCTAATTAATTTTTAAAGTTTTTAAATAAATAAGGATAGTAATAAACTATAAACATTGAATAAATTAAGAATCTATAAATCCATGTTGTTGCTGTTGTTATTGATCAAGTCACGTCCGACTCTTTGCTACCCCATGGATGGCAGCACACCAAGCCTCCCTGTCCAGTATCTCCCAGAGTTCCCTCAAGTTCATGTCCATTGAGTCAATGATGCTATCTAACCATCTCATCCTCTGCCACCCTCTTCTCCTTTTGCCTTCAATCTTCCCCGTAATCGGGGTCTTTTCCAATGAGTTGACTCTTTGCATCAGGTGGCCAAAGTATTGGAGCTTCAGCATCAGTCCTTCCAATGAATATTCAGGGTTGACTTCCTTTAGGGTTGGCTGGTATGATCTTCTTGAAGTCCAAGGGACTCTCCAGAGTCTTCTCCAGCACCACAGTTTGAAAGCATCAATTCTTTGGCACTCAGCCTTTTTTAAGGTCCAACTCTCCCATCCATACATGGGACTACTGGAAAAACCATAGCTTTGATTATCCAGACCTTTGTTGGGAAAGTGATATCTTTGTTTTTTATACACTATCTAGGCTTTTCATAACTTTCCTTCCAAGAAGCAAGTGTCTTCTAATTTCAGTGGCTGCAGTCACCATCCACAGTGATTTTGGAGCCCAAGAAAAGAAAATCTGTCACTGCTTCTAGTTTTTCCCCATCTATTTGCCATGAAATGATGGGACCAGATGCCATGATGTTAGTTTTCTGAATGTTGAATTTTAGCCAGCTTTTCCACTCTCCTCTTTCACCTTCATCAAGAGACTCTTTAGTTCCTCTTCACTTTCTACCATTAGAAAGTGAAGTATCATCTGCTTGAATGAGATGGTTGGATGGCATCACCAACTCAATGGACATAAGTTTGAGCAAACTCTGGGAGATGGTGAAGGACAGGGAAGCCTGGTGTGCTGTAGTGCATGGGGTCGAAAAGAGTCAGACATGACTTAACAACTGAACAACAATCTGCATATCTGAGGTTGTTGATATTTCTCTGGGAAATCTTGATTAGAGTTTATAAGTCATCCAGCCTGGCATTTCTCATGATATACTCTGCATGTAAGTTAAATAAACAGGGTGACAATATACAACCTTGCTGTACTCTTTTCCCAGTGAATCCATACTGATAATAAATGTAAAGAAGAGAAATCTCTCTCCAACAATGTGTCAATCAATACTTGCATTTGGAGAGACAGAGTTGAAAATGACCATTTCCCCAATCAGAGTAGACTGTTTCAGCCAGAGATCATGAAAGGATGTTCTTTCCAGATGTAAAAGTTTGTTAAGAGCTGAGTATTTGCAGGATCTCAGGGCATCTCTCCACAGATTATTGTGAGGAGGCAACAGGACATTGGATAACACCTTGACCATCTGCTCAAAATTAGCATCATCAATTAGGCACTAAGGAACATAGTGTGGCTTCAGGTGGAATATCAGAGGACACAACACAATTTACGCAGTATTCCATCCAGGAATGTGTTATTACTGTTTAGTTGCTAAGTCATGTCTGACTTGTAACTCACCAGGCTCCTCTGTCCATGGGATTTCCCAGACAAGAATACTGAAGTGGATTGCCATGCCCTTCTCCAGAGGATCTTCCCAACTCAGGGACTGAACCATCCATGTCCTGGCTATTATAAACAGTGCTGCGATGAACATTGGGGTGCACGTGTCTCTTTCAGATCTGTGAACCAGTGTCTCTTAAGTCTACTGCATTGGCAGACACATTCTTTACTGTTAGCACCACCTGGGAAGCTCCAAAATACCATGCTCTATAGAAAAACTGCAAGTGTCACTGATGCCAAATCTCAGCCTCTGTATATACTGGCATTGGATTACATTTTGGAGACAGAGTTTGCAATGAAACAGAAAGAAAGGGCTTTACTGCTTTGCCTGGCAAAGGGGGCCACAAGGAGCTAAAGCCCTCAAGACTCTGTGCCCCTCCCTGGTGGAAGGAGATGGTGAGGAGTCTTATCGTGTTCTAGGAGCAGGGTGTGATTCACTTACGGACATTCTTCTGGCTGGTTGGTGGTGAGGAAATTGGGGGTCAGCATCATCAACATTCAGTTCCAAAAGGTCTGTAGTCTATGTGCTTGTGGGCAGCTTATGGTTAACTTCTTCCACCCAGTGGGGGTTTCAGTATCTGCAAAACAGCTCCAAGGACGTGGCTCAGAATATTACCTATAGTCCCTGAGGAAGAAGTCTTTGACTTTAATGGCTAAAGTATTAATACTACTATTTTGTCTTGCTTGACTGTTTTCCTTCCTTTCTGCATTTTCTCACCTCTCTGGCCAATTTTATTCTTTGACCAAAGTTTTTCTACAGACAAAGGGCAGGTGGAGAACACAGAAGTCGGGGCTGTACTCTGGGAAGGCCTCACAGGGTCCTGCTCAGTTATCTACCCTCAGATGGATTGTTTTGACTTGCATTAAAGGGGTAAGAGAGGTTCTAGGTTAAGGTTACAAAGCTAGCACCACACAGGAAATTAGTTCATGCTTCACCCAGAGACAAACTTTTACAGCAAGTAAGTTGAAAATGAAGTGCACAAAGTAACACAGGGTGTCATGCCTGTGGTCATGTTTTTTAATTCAATTTTATTAAAATACAATTCAAACTTTACAGTTATTGTATTAAGATGGGAAAGACCATGAAAGTCTTCTGTGCCATGCAAATACTGTCAACTTAAAGCTGAATTGTGGTTTTATAAAATATGACTGACCTTTCTTTAACAAGTGGAAAACATTAGCATGCCATGTGGCAATACTGAAAAACAAAGCATTAAATCGCCTAAAATTGTTTTTATTGTATAAAAATGAAAAACCAAAAGAAACTCTATAGGTATTCACTAAATATAACCCTTGCATTCAAAAATGCATTTGGAAGTACTTCCATTTGAATGTGATTCTCATTGCCAAATGCTATGTGCATCTAAAAAACCTCTATCAGTAGAGTCACTCAGTTGTGTCTGACTTTGCGACCCCATGGACTGCAGCACGCCAGCCTTCCCTGTCCATCAGAACTCCCAAAGCTCGCTCAAACTCATGTCCTCGAGTCTGTGATGCCATCCAACCATCTCATCCTCTGTTGTCCCCTTCTCCTCCTGCCTTCAATCTTTCCCAGCATCAGGGTCTTTTCAAATGAGTCAGCTCTCTACATGCCTAGGCTTAATTCTGGACACACCTACACAGTTAATTCTTGCTTGGAAAAACCCATGGACAGAGAAAGGAGCCTGGTGGGCTACAGACCATGGGGTCGCTGAAGAGTTGGACACGACTTAGCAACTAAACATCAATAAATGCCTTGGCTCACAGAAAGAGAAAGTGAAGTCGCTCAGTCGCGTCCGACTCTTTGCCACCCCGGGGACTGTACCATCCTACCAGGGTCCTCCATCCACGGAATATTCCAAAGCAAGAGTACGGGAGTGGGTAGCCGTTCCCTTCTTCAGAGGATCTTCCCGACCTGGGGATCCAACCCGGGTCTCCCGCATTGCAGGCGGCCGCATTCCCGTCTGCGCCACCAGAGAAGCTCTGCACTCAGGAAATGGCTTGACCCGCTCGGAGCGTCTTCATTCCTTCCTCCCTTAGCCTCCCCGACACCACTCCCCCAGGCTCCCCAGTCCGCGACATAGCCCCCCAGCCACCCCGCCTTGCCCCTAGGTCCGAGAGCGCACCAGGGTGCCCTCCCGCTGCCTCTAACAGGAAGAGCGGACAGCGGGCCTCGAGGTTTGCGCAGGCGCACTGGCGACCTCCGCGGTCCCGCCAGGGGTCAAGGCCTCCAGTGAGGCGCGGTCTTCCCGGAACCCGACGTAACACTAACGAGTGAGCAGTCACTGCCGGGAACCAAGGGGCGGGAGGCGGAGGAGAGGCCACCCCGATTCCCCGACCCGCTCCTTGCTGTCCCGCGCGCCTGCGCGGACAGGGACACGCATGATGAAGGCACGGCGCCTGCGCGGGGGTGGGGTCGGAGGGCTGAGGGAAGGGCAAACGCGGAGTGGGCGGGGCCAGAGCGGCTCGAGGGGACGCGGCGGACGTGGGCCGCTGGCCTTGGCGGGACGGCCTGGGCGCCTCAGTCTCCATCGCGCTGTGCCGGCGGCGGTGGTGGGTGGCCGAAGGATGTGACTGGAGGGCTGCCGGCGGCCAGCGGACGATGCTCGCGCTCCTGGGCGCGACGACCCTGATGCTGGTCGCTGGGCGGTGGGTGCTGCCAGCCGCTTCAGGTGAGAGAGAGGGGTTCCGGCCCTGCCTCGTCAGCTGGACTGCGGCGGCGGCGGCAGCGCGGGAAACCTTGGCCCTGGGGACGGGGGTGGAGGGACAGACGCCCTCGGTGGGAGACCTCTGGTTGTCCGCGGTCGCAGCGCCTTATTGAAACGGACTCAAAAATCAAACTTCAGTTTCAGCCGCTCAGTCGTGTCCGACTCTCTGCTACCCCATGGACCGCAGCATGCCAGGCCACCCTGTCCTTCACTATCTCCCGGAGCTTACTCAAACTCTTGTCCATCGAGTCGATGATGCCATCCAGCCGTCTCATCCTCTGTCGTCCCTTTCTCCCGCCTTCAATCTTTCCCAGCCTCAGGGTCTTTTCTAAGGAGTCAGTTCTGGATTTGGAGTTTCAGCATCGGTCCTTCCAAAAATGAAAGAACAGAAAGTCATGTTCGAAATTCTTCCCCAGCCGCTTGCTCGGGGGCGCCGTCGTCGCCACCCCTGCCTGCCTGTGCCTGCTGCCCGCCCCCAACCCCCGCAGGGCTGGGTGTGCACAGCTCTGGTGACCAGTTTGTTTCCTTCCGAAAAGTCAGGCAGCTCCACTGCCCCGTTTCATAATAAACAAGGCTTAGAGCTGCGCTGCTGGTCTCCTCCATTCAGTAGACAGTTCTTGATCCCACGGGTAAATGCCCAGTAAGGTGTGCAAGGATTTCTGTGCCCTCAGGATTCAATCAGTCTAATAATAATAATAAAAATATGGCCAAATAGGAAGGCTGGGAGCCACCAAGCTAATTTGCCGCTTTTCTTAATTTAGCGGGGAGATACATGGGGGAAATAGCAGCTATTATAAGATTGACTTTGTAGCGAGAAGAAATACCAAAGACAAACAGGGCCTCGCAACAGAGCAGAAATCCGGGAGTTGGTGAGGCCACCTGCATGCTTGCTAAGTCACTTCAGCCCTGTTCAACTCTTTGTGACTTCATGGACTGTAGCCCACCAGGCTCCTCTGTCTGTGGGTTTCTCCAGGCAAGAATACTGGAATGGGTTGCCATGCTCTCCTCCAAGGGATCTTCCCAATTCAGTATCTTTAGCTACATTGGCAGGTAGGTTCTTTACCACTAGTGACACCTGGTAAGCCTTAAATACTTATTTGCTTTGAAAATCATACCCTGATTTTCTGGGGTACATGGTATCCTATCTATCTTGTCCAAAAAATATGTTTTTACCAACATAACGGGTTTCTTCCAGAATAGCAGAGGAATTGCAATTTAGGGCAAGCAAGCTTATAGCAAGGGCTTCCCAGATGGCTCACTGGTAAAGAATCCACTTGCCTGTACAGGAGCCATGAGTTTGATCCCTGGATCGAGAAGATCCCCTGGAGAAGGAAAGGGCAGCCCTCTCCAGTGGGCTGGGAAAATCCCATGGACAGACGAGCCTGGTTGGCTACAGACCACCTAATCACAAGAGTCAGATACGATTTAGTGACTAAAAACAACAAGAAGCTACAGCAAAAACCATAGCCAAGTCCAACAAGGAAAGGAGAAGAACATTACTTTATAGAGCAAAAGAAGGAAGTTGGGAGGGTTGTTTTAAACGAAATTCCATTGATTGAAGGTGAGAGTTCGGGGCCGTGCTATTTTTCGAATTGTCTGCACTGGTTGCTGGGAGAGAATTTTTCCTTTTGGAGTCTGGAATTGCTGGTGAGTGAACATACTTGAGGGCTCTGGCTTCTGGCCTCCTGACTTCATTTTAAATGAGGTTTCCTTTATTATGTTTCACACCTATTTCTCAGACTGTCTCACAAATATAGTATATAATATATGGGTTCTAGGGTCCTGGTGAAACCCCTGATAATTTCTTTGGAGTTTTTTGTTCATGAATATTTTGCATTAACTCATGTTTGCTTTCATATCAAAAGAATTTGCCCAGAATTTTCATGTAAAATTAACATTCCAGGAAGCTGTTCATTAGATCATAATTTTTTAATCTGTATTAGAGGAGAGCTAAAGTAAACTTCATACACAACTGGCATTTTTTGCTCTCAACTACGTACCAGACACTACTCTTAAGTGTTTTATTATTTTTTTTTTGTAATCCGGATAATATTTTATTTTTTTCCCATTTATTTTTATTAGTTGGAGGCTAATTACTTTACAATATTGTAGTGGTTTTTGCCATACATTGACATGAATCAGCCATGGATTTACATGTGTTCCCCATCCCGATTCCCCCTCCCTTAAGTGTTTTAAAAGTACAAACTCATTTAGCTTTCAGAATAAAGCTGAGCACCATTATCCTCATTTTATAGAGGAGCAGGCTGAGGTCATATAGCTAGCCTGTGCTTTAGGGGGAAATCAGACCCTGAAAATCTGGCCCCAGAGCCCTGGGGCTTATGGCTAGCTATTTTCTGAAGACCACACAATTTGGTCTTGTTTATCCACCTGTATGTTAAGGACTTAGTTCTCTTTCAATTAACTAATCTACTTTTTTCACAAAGAAAGAGTAATGTTCAAAACTAAATGTAATGTTAACCGTGACCTGAGATCATAATATTGCTCTGTGTTCCAAAGTAATCAAAATATTTGTACTTTCAAACCTAGTAAATGCAGCTCTGAGATCCTAGTCTAAGAAAACTATCCAAAATATGGTAGGAAATTTATATTTGTATAGATGGTATGTGTTTGGGTTTATGTCAGACTTGAAAATACAGTAAACTGTTTCTAGTCATCAGTAGGAGTCTGAAGGGCTGGAAACAACCAATTGTATAAAAAGTATTGGATTACATGCCCATTTAGGGCTTCCCTGGTAGCTCAGTACATAAGGAATCCGCCTGCACTTCGGGAAACTCAGGAGATTCAAGTTCGATCCCTGGGTCAGAAAGATCCCCTGGAGCAGGGTGTGGCAACCCACTTCAGTATTCTTGCCTGGGAAATTCCATGGACAGAGGAGCCTAGCGGGCTACATGGGGTCACAGAGAGTCAAACACAACTGAAGCAACTGAGCACACACACATGCAGCTCCCCATTAATATATTTTACATGCTAAAGGTTGAAGTAAACTATTAGTAAAGGGCTGTTGCTAATATTTTACTGAGCCACTAGGGAAGTCCAATAGAACAAAATCTATGAACTCTAAAATCTTATTTAATAACTATTTCCAAGTCCCTGTCCATGCCTGGTAGCTCAGCTGGTAAAGAATCTGCCTGTAGTACAGGAGAACCGGGGTCAATTCCTGGGTTGGGAAGATCCCCTAGAGAAGGGAATGGCTACCAGTTCCAGTATTCTTGCCTGGAGAATCCCATGGACATTTGTTGGTCTCGTAAAAGCCAAGATGCCTGTAACTCCAGGGTCTCCTTCCATTAGAACAGAAGGATTTCATCCCTAAGGAAATGTCTGGCTGTACCCTGGGTATCAGATGTCCTAATCGTCTCTCAAGGCCGAGAACTACTAGAATTAGAGTATTCTGGGCTGGAGACTAAATATGCCATCAAACCTTTTATTAACGCCATAAACCCAGTTGCTCTCTTTTGGCTGCATAAAATCTAAAAATCCAACAGCTTGGCATGGAATTAAGTTTAGAGTGTGATAAAGGGAAGTAATTCTATTTGGTAGTGAAGCCTCAGAGAATACAAGTGTAAAATACGTAATTGAGGGTGGGGAGACTCAACTAATACCTCCCCAAATTAAAAAAAATTCAGAAAATGTTTTCTCAGGCATCTCCCTCTTTGACTCCGTACCGTAATAACTCTTAACTGGAAAGTAGAGGCAGCAGTCCATTTTTTTAAAGTTCTTTTTTTCAGTTCAGTTCAGTCGCTCAGTCGTATCCAACTCTTTGCGACCCGATGGATGCCAGGCCTCCTTGTCCATCACCCACTCCTGGAGTTGACTCATCCTCATGTCCATTGAGTCAGTGATGCCATCCAACCATCTCATCCTCTATCGTCCCCTTCTTCTCCCACCTTCACTCTTTCCCAGCATCAGGGTCTTTTCCAGTGAGTCAGTTCTTCACATCAGGTGGCCAAAATATTGGAGTTTCAGCTTCAGCATCAGTCCTTCCAGTGGATATTCAGGACGGGTTTCCTTTAGGATGGACTGGTTGGATCTCCTTGTTGGATCTCCCAATACCACATTTCAAAAGCATCAATTCTTCGGCACCCAGCTTTCTTTATAGCCCAACTCTCACATCCATACATGACTGGAACAATGTATTTCTTTATGTATATATTTATTTTCATGTTTTTTAACACCAGAAACATTTTATATTGGGGTGTAGCCGATTATCAGTGTTGTGATAGTTTCAGGTGAACAGTGAAGGCATTCATCCGTACATATTCCCGTTCTTCCCTAAACCCCTTCTCCTATCCAGGCTGCCACAAAACATTGAGCAGTGTTCCGTGTGCTATACAATAGAACTTTGTTGGTTATCCACCCCTATGGTAGAGAGTCTATAGGAGATAGCATCCTTGTCCTGTGGCAGAAATACTGTATGATAAATTGCAATTTATCATAGTGAAAGATCAGTCTTCTGTGATGTGGAAAAAGTTCTTGTAAACTCAGCATTAGTCTGAGGACACTGAGAAATGCCGATTAAGTTTGAAGCTATATAGACCCTGCCTTAAGGAACTTGCATTCTGGTTAGAAGTTGTGTTAAACATAAGGAAGCAATTTTTAAAAAGACATCTTCACCTTCACGCATCAAGTTTTGAGAGCCTACTAGATGTCAGTACCATGCTGAGTACATCTGCTTCAGTGTAAAATTGAGTGGTGCAAATTGATGGTGCAGAGTGTGAAAAGAAAGCAAGGTTGGCATTTGCTGCAGTGTTTGAGAAAGGTTTTCTCTTGGAGGGCAAGCTTGAGCTGGGTCTTGGAGGGTTTGGGTGGTCAGGAAGAGAAAAGCTGTTTGGGTGGGGGGCCAAAAAGGAAGAGCCAGAAGAGAGAGAGCGTCCAGCCGGCGGCAGCTTTGTACTAGAAGCATAAATATAAACATGTACATGTCACCAAGTCATGTGCTGTCCACCTGAAACTAACACAGTATGGTAAATCAACTATACTTCACATTTTTTTAACAGTATAGGAAATGAAATAGGTCTCTAGATGGAAATCTGTAAAATAAACAGAAGGGCTCAGACTTGATATGTTGAGCAGGCAAGATCTTTTCAGGGTCCTGTAGGACCTGGCTGACATAATAAACTTTCATCTCTTATCAACTTTGTATGTGAATATTTGGCTTCTGTGAATAGTTGTCAGTTCTGAAACCACATCTGTTCAGTTCTGTGTCAGAGTATATCCCTGTTTGAACACAGTATGTGAGAAAAACCAAGTTGAGGCTGTTAAACAGTCGAGCCCATATCCTTTACGTCAGTATCACTTGTAAGACAAAAGAAAAATGCTATTTTTATACACAGACTTTTTTCCCAGTTAAAAGACAATTACCTTTCTACAGTTCGTTCGTTTTTGCCACCTTTATGGAGATATAATTGACATATAATATTTGCTTTTTATAGATTTTAAAAACCTCAACCAAAAAAAAAAAAACCTCAACTGTTTTCCAGTTCTCTTGAATGCAGAGGTAGATGTAATTAGCAGCTTTCCCATGCTGACAACAAGCACTAGGTCTTTTTTAGATTTATCTACTTAATTTTGTTATAGTTAAATGTATTCACTGTCCAGTCAGTGATGTCAAGGAAAGAATGATATTTTAAAAAATATCTATAGCATGTATGTACATATAACTGTATAGTGTGTCTGTGTAACTGTCTTCTGTCTTATTATCTTGACAGGGGAAGCAAATCTGAAGCCTGAAAATGTCGAGATCCACATCATTGATGACAATTTTTTCCTGAAGTGGAACAGCAGCAGTGAGTCTGTCAGGAATGTGACTTTTTCAGCAGATTATCAGATGTACGTTACTCTATACTCAGGGATCTGCTGAATAATTTTTATCATTTTTACACCATAAATTTTCAAATTTGGGAAACATTTGGTTTTTCCTCTTTTTTAAAGAAAGTATGTGGCAGTTTCGCATAATAAGTATAACGTCTTTTTTATGATTAGAGTCTTAGTCTAAGAGTTCAGACTTCATCTTCAGGTTTTGAAGCAAGAGATTTCGGGGACTGTGCTAGCAGACTTCTGTAGCCCACAACCATATCTTCTCTGTTCTGGATGCTCCAGCTTCTTTAAACAGAAATTAGGGTCTGACCTAGAGCATACCCTGAGAATATGGGAGACTGTCCCTAAAAGCCTAGCCACTGTCTTGGAATCAGCCACGAGGTCTTCTGTGGTCAGGTTTTCCTCTTTTCTCCATCATGCACAAAGTCTTAGTTCTAGATATCCTGGCTGAGTATCAGTGTACTGCGCCCTGCACTTCCACAGTGTTTCTGGAGTTTCTGCCTCCTCCCTGGGGCTAACTTTCCACCTAACGATTGCCAAGAGGATAGGCAGACGGAGTTGGCAGAAGAAAGGGTTACTGAAGGAAAGAGGAAGGTCCTAAAGGCCTGTCTGCTCACTGTGACCCCTGTCCCAAGAGCAGGCAGGGAGTCAGGCAAGAAGAAACAGGGTGTGGTCTCTAGAACCAGGGTTCCGCCACTTCAGCCGCAGCCCTGCTGTTCTCTGCGTGTGTGTGCGCTCAGTTGCTCAGTGTCCAACTCTTTGCAACTCCACGGCCTGTAACCCGCCAGGCTCCTCTCTCCATGGGATTTTTGTAGGCGAGAAGACTGAAGTGGGTTGCCATTTCCTTCTCCAGAGGATCTTCTTGACCCAGGAATTGAGCCCACATCTCCTATCTCCTGCATGGGCAGACAGATTCTTTATCACTGAGCCATCTGGGAAGCCCCAGTTCTCTAGTTGATTGTGAATAAGCTGTTAGTGTGTGTATGTGTGTGTGTGTGTGTGTGTGTGTGTGTGTGTGTGTGTACAGCCAACCCTTGAACAATGGCGGGAACAGGGGTGCCTAACCCACTGCTTCTACCCACTGCCCCTGCTGGCTGCAGTCAGAAATCTGAGTATAACTTCACAGTAGACTCTTCATATCTGCATCCATGGATTCACCCACACCTAGATCTTAGAATACTGTAAAGTGTGTATTTACTGAAAGAAATCTGCGTGTAAGTGGGCTCACATAGTTCAGACCCATGTTGTTCAAGGGTATATATGTATACACACACTAGATATTGTTTTCCTCAGAACTGATCATGTAAAATTTTTCATCTCTAGAAATTTTCTTTAAATTGAACTTTGAGTTTTGTTACCAATTTTATTCTTTGCCTTAGTTCTTATTAAACTATTTTTTAGGCATAATGGAGATTATTTCATATTCCTTTATTTAAAATGACCCTTGTATTAAAAGAGCAGAGCCATAGACAGTGATCTCATGTTCTTGTTGCTTCACACATTCTGTTGTTTTTATTAACTTCTCTAATTCATGATAATCTCTTACTCTTCGTTCTGACTTTGGTCCAGGGCACTGTTTCAGTGTTCTTATTCTGTTCTTTCTCTTTTCTGTTCTGCTAGCTCTATAAGCACTTGCCTTGTAAGAATATGCCAGGTTACAAGTTTGGAGAGCCAGTTCAGCAGTTGGTATGGTATCGTGTAGTATGAGCTTGAGCCAGGCTTGTTGAGTTGCTCAGTCGAGTCCAGCTTTTTGCAATCCCATGAACTGCAGCACACCAGGCTTCCCTGTCCTTCACTATCTCCCTGAGTTTGCTCAAATTCATGTCTATTGAGTCTGTGATGCCATCCAACCATCTCATCCTCTGTCACCCACTTCTCCTCCTGCCCTCAGTCTTTCCCAGCATCAGGGTCTTTTCCGATGAGTTGGTTCTGCTTGGGTTTTAGTCCATCCTCTGCTACTTACTCTATCAGTTTCCTTATCTGTGAAGTAAAGATAAACAACTCATATGACCACATGTAATTTATCTTTCAAACCAAGATACTTCTGAGAGTGAACAGAAGCACTTGATTTTATATAAGCTGCAACAACAAATTTAAAGCAGGACAGTGCCAGGCAGACTGGTCTGGGACACCCCAATGATGAAGCATCTAACACAGAAGCCTGTTGCAAGTGTTGTTAATTGTGTATAAAGTACACAGAACAGTGGTACAGAGTATGTGATCAAGAAAAGTGAGGTTAATATCAGCAGCAGACACATTTTTCAGTACAGTATTTCTCAGAACATAAGACACATCACTGATGATAAATGATGCACAGACCCATGAATAAGCTACTGGGATGCCAATGCCTGTAGAATACACACCACCTAAGACATCATTGTTTGCATTGTTATTTAGTTGCTCCGTCATGTCTGATTTTGCAACCGCCAGGACTCTAGCCTGCCAGGCTCCTCTGTCCATGGGATTCTCCAGGCAAGAATACTGGAGTGGGTTGCCATGCCCTACTCCAGGGGATCTTCCAACCCAAGGTTCAAATCCACGTCTCCTGCATTGTGGGGGGCAGATTCTTTATCACTGAGCCACCTGGAAGCCCTCAGTGTTTGTGACTGACATCTAAAATGTATTATGACGGGGCTTCCCTGGTGGTCCAGTGGTTAAGAGTCCACGTGCAGTGTAGGGGACACTGGTTTGATCCCTGGTCTGGGAAGATTCCACGTGCTGTGAGGCAGCTGGGCCCATGCGCCACAACTACTGAGCCCACACTCGAGCCCCAGAGCCCCAGCCACGAAAGCCCACAGGCCGGAGCCTGTGCTCACAGCAAGAGAAGCCACGGCAGGGGAGCCCGTGCACCGCCACGGGAGGCTGCCCGTTCGCCACAACCAGAGAAAGCCCGCAGGCAGCAGCGAAGCGCTGGCACAGCCAAAGCTTTTAAAAGGCTTTTTTCATTACAAAATGTATGGTGATGTTAGGTAGCGTGGTGTGTTCATTCAACAAATAGTGATTGCCTTTTATGCCAAACTCCTCAGTGCTTGGGATTACATTAGTGAATAGGAGAGACAAAGAGGGCATGAAGTTTTATTATGACACTGGTTTCATGAAATGAATTTTCTATTGGTTGCATATTTATTTTTCAAATTATATTTCTACTCTGATCTAAGTACTATATATGGTAAAGTTTTTTTTAAAGAAAATGTAAAAGAAGCTGCAATAGCTCCCTTACATGCAGAAGCAATTATAATAGAGGGAGTAGCTGTGTCTCCCTAGCAGGAAGGACAGATGTGGAGTGAAGGTGGGTTGAAACCATATCAGGGCTTAGGTACAAACTTTTTGTAAGGTTTTCTGCTTATAATAAGAGCTCTCCAGGTAACAAGAGATGCATTACTGGCTTTTTGCCTGGAGCTCATTTTATTTCGACCGTCTGTGCCCATGATTGAAAGAAGTCTGCACCATTCCCACTTCCCAGACGTCCTTATATCTCCTGATTTCTCTAGAACTGTATTTTCTAATAAATGACATGGAGGGTACTGAATTTTGGTTTAGATGTTTAAAATCTAAATTTTTAAAATAGATTCTGTATGGCAAAACCAATACAATGTTGTAAAGTAAAATAAGTTAATTTTTAAAAAATAAATAAAAATAGATTCTGATGTAGAGAAGTTTCTCAGGAAGATTTGCATGTAAATTAAGGTATTATTACTGCTTGTGAAAGGGAAGTCACAACTTCTTGACGCAGGTCATTCTGTTTGGAAGCACTTCTTACCACTGTGATTTTTCTGTCTAAATCCAGACTTGTCCACATGTTGCGTATACAGTCTCAGGAGACTGACATTTCTAGGCAAAGGATGTCCTGAGTGAGGGAATATCATGTGTGCCGCATATGCAAACAACTGGCAATCAGGCTGCCAGTCATGATTTCCAAAAGCTTCATGAAGGATTTCTATCCAGACAAGTTATTTTTCTGAACAGAATTGTAGCAATGCCATAGCATTTTTGGGTACTCCACTGTTGTGCTGTTATTTGTGAGTTATTTTTGATAATTTAATAAAAGGTTGTGAGCATTAAAAACTTAACTAAGGTGTTACTAATGCCAAGTCTAAGTAGGTAAAGTTAGAAGGGCAGACTCACCAGGAATGAAGTGTGCCCATATGGTAGTGTTTATTATTGGCAACTTCTTAAAAATGTTTCTTTTCTTTGAAAAATAAGGTATACTTGAGTTGGAGTCAGCACAAAAAAATCACTCCTAGTTTCTATTAGCTTTTAGTAAAGAACATACTTAGCTTTTTAAACAATTTTTATTTATTTTTGGCTGCACTGGGTCTTTGTCGCTGCACATGGGTTTTCTCTAGTTTTGGCAAGTTGGGGCTATCTTTTTGCAGAGCACAGGCTCTAGGCATGAGGTCTTCAGTAGTTGTGGTGCATAGGTCCCCGTTGCCTTGGAAACTTCCCAGACTAGGGATAGAACCCATGTTCCCTCCACTGGCAGGCAGACTCCTAACCACTGGACCACCGGGGAAGTCCATCCTTTAGTTTTTTGTTAAAGACACTTTAGCATCTTTAAAATGAGGTCTATAATGTATAAAAATGAGCTAATGCTAGAACTATGAATTAGGCTTAACAAAAATGTCTTCTCAGAGGTTAGTTCCCCTGTTTGGTATGAGGCAGACAGGGCTTTCCATAAGCAAAAATTTTGGAATCTAGTATTTGTTTTCTGTTGCTCACCTTCACTTCAGCCTCCTCTCCTCTTTGTGGCAGCATGGCCTTTTTGTTTTAGGCACCCTGTGTCAACTTGATTTCTTCAGGTGCTTTAAAAAAAAGTCCAGTATCAGTCACTTAAGCTTGCTTCGTGATGGACTGAGTCCACATTGAGAAGTTTGTTAGCTTATGTTAACATGGTAAGTTCTTTGTTTCTGGTGGTGTCATAGAAGGAATTACAGAGATCAGTATGCAGAGGGATGGTTTGGTTTTGAAGAGAGCAGAGGAAATTCTCAAACCATACTGATTCTGAGGTCTTGCTTAGGGCTAGTAAATCTCTTCCTAGGAGAAGATCAGAAGGGAATCAAATCCAGTTTCCAATTTTTCAGTAAGGAAGAGAGGATCCAGAATAGAAAGCAGTTGGCCGAAAGTGACACAACTGTTTTTAACAGAGCCAACACTAAGTCTTCTTTCATCTTAAGGGTTCTTTCTCTGTTTCTTTGAAATCCTAATGCAACCACCCACAGAATTACAGAACTTTATGAAGTTAACTGTATGTTAGAATGATTCCACTGTATAAATAATAACTTGGTTGTATATGCAATGAAAAAGAATAGTAGAATGTTACCCACAAAAATATTGTGAAAACATTAACTCAAGTAGAAGAAATAACTACTTCCCCTAGCTTAGAGCCTTCCCTAGTGACTCCAGTGGTAAAGAATCCACCTGCCAGTGCAGGAGACACAGCAGACATAGGTTCCGTCCCTGGGTCAGGAAGATCTGGAGGAGGAAATGGCAACCCACTCCCTTATTCTTGCCTGGAGAATCCCACAGACAGAGGAGCCTGGTGGGCCACAGTTCATGGGATTGAAAGAGTCAGACACGACTGAGAGACTAACACACACACTAGCTTTATAACGTTAGTGTCAAAACAAAACATGTTTGTCACTCTTGTATTTATAATGTTCATTCATTCATTTGCTTTTTTATTTTGAAGACTAGGGACGGATAACTGGAAAAAATTGCCTGGGTGTCAAAATACTGCTAGTACCAAATGCAACTTTTCTTCAGTCGAGCTTAAAAATGTTTTTGAAAAAATTGAATTGCGCATAAGAGCAGAAGAAGGAAACAACACTTCTATATGGTATGAGGTTGAACCATTTGTACCATTTCTAGAAGGTAAGAAAAAGTTGCCAGCTGAATTATATTGAATTCTTTATTAAATATTACCAGCACAGCTCACTTCCCAAGCCCATTCATTTGCATAATATAAAATCTCCCATCTTTAAAAAAAACAAAAAGAACAAAGATTCCCTTAAACTGGTATCTCCTTCCTGCTATGACTTCATTTTCGTGCTTTCCTTCTAGTGGTGGTTCTCAGAGTGTGGTCTCCAAGAGATCTATCAATTCAAAACCATTTTCCTAATGGAAACTTACTTAATAAAACTTACTTGCCTTTTTCATCTTCATTCTGTCGTGGGTGTACCCTGGAGTTTTCTAGAGGCTGTTTGATAGGAGATGGTGGCTGGTGATGGCAGAAGTAGGTGTGAGACACAGCTGTCTTCTTTATTAGGCCAGACATTAAAGAGATTTGAACAAAATGTGAGATGAACACCACTCATCTCACTAAGTTTTTTGGCTTGTTTGTTTTGAGAAATGCAGTCATTTATTATCATGCAATAGGTTTCATCATTACTGTTTTTTAATGAATTGATAGATATTTTACATTTTTATCAATTTTGACGTCTGGTATGCTGAACATTCAAAGACACAGCCCATGTAAACAAGAGCTCTTTAGGACCCTCAGTTTCTCTTAAGAGTGTAAGGGATCCCAAGACCAGAAAGTTCAAGAACCACCACCTATTCCATAACTCACACAAGGATGATTGGTACCCCCTCTCTGTACACTTTCCCTCCCACTCCCTCTCCAGCCCTCCTGGTTCGAGCTTTGTTCCCCATCACGACACTAAGACCACTCTTGCCGAGGTCACCTTGACCTCGACAGTGCCAAGTGGATTTACTCCCTTCCGCGTGAAGCCCTTCCCTCTCAGTTCTCACGGGCCCTGCGCTTTCCAGGCTCTCCTCCTGCTCCCTGGTTGCTCCTTTGCCAGTTTCTTCTTGTCCCCCAGATCTTAAAATGTTGGACGGCAGCGGGCCTCAGTCTGCAGGGCTCCGCCATTGAACCTCTTCTCAACGCAACCTCCACCAGGAATCGTATGGCTTTCAATACTCTCCGTGCTCTCAGCCCTCTGTTTACATCCCCTTCTCCTTACCTTAGAGAGCTGCATCACCCACTCTCTAGTCAGCATCTCCACTTATAGGTCTGAAAGTCATCTCAAAAAACTCTTCTAAAATTTTTATTTATTTATAGTTGGCCATGCTGGATCTTCATTGCTTCTCATGGGCAGGTGGGGGCTACTTCTTCAGTTGCGGTGCTTGGGCTTCTCATTGCGGTGGCTTCTGTTGCAGAGCACAGGGTCTAGATGCTCAGGCTTCAGTAGTTGCGGCACACGCGCTTAGTTACTCCAAGGCATCTAGAATCTTCCCGGACCAGGGATCAAACCCATGTCCCCTGCTTTAGAAGGTGGATTCCCCGCCAGGGAAGTCCCTCGTCCCAAATTAAAAATGGCCAGAGTTCTAGCTTTCCCTTCTCCAGACCTGATCTTCTTGCAGTTTTTGCCATCTCTGTTAATGATATCACCTAATATTTGCTCAGGCCAGGAGCCCTGGCATCACCTTTGATACCTCTCTTTCATCCTCCATGCAGTCCATCAACAGATTCCAAGCGATCAGATCGCTTCTTACTTCCAGCCCGGCATCAGCCGTCCCTGGCCGCTCTCATCTGCCCAGGAGCTTTCCCACTTCCTGACATGCTACCGGGGGTGGTCTTTCCTAAATGTAAATCAGGACAGATGTAATTGGCGACCTTACAAATCCAGACTACAAGTTCTGCCTCTTACCCAGAGTCTAGCTGCCTCTCCGTTCTCATTTTCTACTACCCGGGTACTCGAGCGCCCCCTAGTGTCTCCTGAAAATGGTGAGCACGTTCCCATCTCAGGGTCTCTGTCCTGGGGCCCTTTCAGCCTGCCAAGTTTGACCTCACCTCCTTCAGGCCTCAGCTCGAGCATCTCGGGGAGCCTTCTCCTCGCTTACTCACCTAAAACAGTCGTTGCTGCCCTTCTCTGTCCCTTTATATTACTTCATTTCTTCTTACAGTATGCATGGCATTATTATATATATTTGTTTATTTGGGATTGTTGGCCACATTTCCCACTAAAGTGTAAGCTGCAAGAGGGATTGTCTCCTTTTTAGATGCCAGGCACATATTTAAGTGCTTAGAATTATTTATTGTATGAATGTTTTGACTTGTATTAGTGAATTTACATAGTAAATATTTTGATTTTCACAGCTCAGATTGGTCCCCCAGATGTGCATTTAGAAGCTGAAGATAAGGCAATAATACTGAGCATCTCTCCCCCTGGAACAGAAGATAGTATCATGTGGGCTACAGATCGTTTAAACTTTAGATATAGCGTCGTTATCTGGAAAAACTCTTCAAGTCTAGAAGTAAGCATTATTTTTATGTTTGATGTGAGAGAAGAATGACTTGAATTAATTGTAAAATTTGACTTTTTTTAAAGAACAGACTTCTCTTTTTTAGGAAAGAACTGAAACTGTTTATCCCGAAGATAAAATTTATAAACTGTCACCAGAGATTACTTATTGTTTAAAAGTTAAAGCAGAACTGCCTTTACAAAGTAGAGTTGGTTACTATAGTCCAGTGTATTGTATAAATACCACAGGTAAGAAGGAAGTTTTGCTTTTAGTTCAGTTACTATATATATATAAGTTGTTTGTTGTTGTTCAGTTGCTAAGTTGTGTCTGACTCTTTGCAACCATATGGACTATAGCCCACCAAGCTCCTCTGTCCTCCACTACCTCCCTTTGTTTGCTCAGATTTATGTCCATTGAGTTGGTGACACTAACCATCTCATCCTCTGCTGCCTTCGTCACCTTTTGCCTTCAATCTTTTCCCAACATCAGGGTCTTTTCCAGTGAGTCAGCTCTTTTCATCAGGTGGCCAAAGTGTTGGAGCTTCAGCTTCAGCAACAGTCCTTCCAATGAATATTCAAGGCTGATTTCCTTTAGGATTGACTCGTTTGATCTCCTTGCAATCTATTAATTAATTGGCAGCCTTTTAATTTTGGCATTTTTCCCATAGTTGCTGAATTTTTTGTGTTGGTTTAGTAGACATCAAAACAAAAACATTCTCATGTTGATGTATGGCAGAATCCAAAGCAATATTGTAAAGCTATTATCCTCCAATTAAAAAGAAATACTTTTTTTTTTTTCAAAAATATTTTAACAGCATTTACACAAGCAACAGTGTTATTTGGGGTTTTTGTCTCAAGTAAACAGTAATGAAAATTCTGTGTAAAAGTCCAAGTACTTTCTAATTACAGAAATTGTTTTTACTTGTTCAGAATCCATGAGAAGGGGAGATAGTCATTAGAAAAGCAGTTAGTATTCCAAAAAGCATATGTCTATAGGTGAAATGTTAAATTATGAAAGCATCCTGATGCATTTTATCTGTGGCATCTTGCCAACAATTAAGGTTTAAGGGTAGGAACTTGAATTTATTACTTTAATTATAGATTTAATATGCTTTGTTCTTAAAATCAAGCACTGTAGAAGGGAGTTAAAGGAAAGATCTCCTCTCCTGCTTCCTGACCCCATTCTGTTCACCAGAGTCAAGCATCCCCAGCAGTGTATGTACAACCTTTCCTGTGTTTCTTCAGGGCTTATACTAGCATATACTCAGACTTCCAGTTTTGGGGTGTTCTGTCATTTGAATTAAGGAATAAGGTTCTGTGTGCACTCTGCTGTATGTAAAATGGATCACCAGCAAGGGCCTGCTGTGCCGCACATGGAGCTCTGCTCAGTGTCACGCGGCAGCATTGATGGTAGGGGAGTTTGGGGGAGAGTAGGTAGCATGTGCGTGTATCTCCAAGTCCCTTCACTGTTCACCCAAAACTGTCATAGCATTATTAACCTGCTATACCCCAAACAAAATAAAAAGTTTAAAAAAATAAAAAATAAAGTCCTGTTGGGTATATTTTCTTGCTTGTCTAACCCAATATATTGAGGCTCTCTTTTTATGTCAGCACATATAGATCTATCCCATTCTTCTAAATGGCTGTGTAGTATTACCTTGTGTGAATACACACCGTAATTTATTTAGCTATTACCTCATAATGATAAGATACAAGCCTTTTCTCTTCTTGCCCATTCTATTAAGGATTCTTGCCATCTGTTATCTCACTAGAGTAAATGTGTGTGCTTTCTTGTCTATTCCTTGTCGTCTAGAGAGACGTGATGTGCCTTCACCAGAAAATATACAAATAAGTGCTGACAACCAGGTCTGTGTTCTTAAGTGGGATTACCCGTATGAAAACACAACTTTTCGAGCTCAGTGGCTCCGGTAAGTTCTGTCCCATAATGTCCTTTTGCAGCTTATTTTTGCGCAGTGTGTGAGGTTTCTTTTCACTCTGCTTCAGCTACCTGTTGTTCTCTGCACACATTCGGCCTGATGGAAAGGTGGTTATGATGCATTGGAACTGGGCTGTTTAATTCTAGTCCCAGCTCTGCCAGTAACCATCTGCAGTATCACTGAGACCCAGTCACTTCTTTGGGCCTCAGTTTCTTTACTTGTGAAATGGGTGTATTATAATATCTAGTGTCCTTAGTAGATGTTAGTCATTCAGTCATGCCCGATTCTTTGTGACCCCATGGACTGTAACCCACCAGCCTCCTCTGTCCATGGAACTCTCCCCTAAGGATACTGGAGTGTGTGGCCATTCCCTTCTCCAGGGGATCTTCCTGACCCAGGAAATGAGCCCACGTCTCCTGCATTGCAGGCAGCTTCTTTACCGTCTGAGCCACAGGGACTTACTGGCTCTTTTTTTAAAGGTATGATTCTAATTACATGTGTTATTTCCTCGGTCTGGAATTCTTGACACATGACCGAGATATTTTCTTCAAAACCCACTCCTTCCATGAGTCTTTGAAATGATCTCAGTCCAGTCACTCAGTCTAGTTCAGTTCAGGTCAGTCTCCTACTGTCCTGAATGTTGTAATGACTTTGGCAGATTCCTTAGTGATTAGTGGGAAACTAAGGAAGTCAGAGAGAACTGTGCTCTGTGTGCCTGAGTAGAGACCAGCCAAACAGGAGTAAAGCTCAGCACGACATGAGTGAAAGAGGACTGGGTATAGTTCATGTTGATTGGAAAACTGGAGAGGGTAAAAGGAGAGGGAGAAGAGAAGAGGATAATCAAGTAGAAGGTGACGTGAACTCTGGCGGGAAAGGGGGACTACAAAGAAAGAGGTACCGAGGGCAGAGGAATCGTGGGACTAGAGGCGAGTGTAGGTCAGGTAGGGAAGAAAGAGTGAGAAGAAAGAGACTAAAAAGACAGAGAAAAAGTGAGGGAGAAGGGAAGTCGATACTGCTGCAATTGATTCCTCTCCACCCTGCAACAGCAGTCTGGATAATAAATGCATTCATGTGTGGAGTACAAATAACAAAGGTTGCAGGAGGTCAGAAATGTAGAGGTATGTGCAGGACCAGAGTCCACAGAAGCCACTTGGAAGGAGAGGTTTTGTGAAGGAGGCCTTGATTGTTGTTGAGTCATGTGTTTTTCAATGACGAGAGAGGGCGTTCCAGGCTGGGGCTACACTACACGGGAAAGCTTGGATATGAAGAGACCAAATCAGATCAGGGTAACGAGGAGGAATCCATTTCCTTTTGCTCTGTAGTAAACTAGCACAAACTCAGCAGCTTAAAAAACACAGCTTATTATCTCTCAGTGACTTTGGGTCAGGAATTCAGGTGTGGCTTAGCAGGGTCCTCTGCTCGGGGTCTCACAAGGCTGTGATCAGGGTGTCAGCCGGGACTGCTGTCTCATCCAGGCTGTCTCGTGGTGTCTCCTAAGCTCACGTGGTGGTTGGTAGAATCCATTTCTGACAGCTATAGAACGAATGGTGGCCTGCTGCCTCAGAGGCCGTCAACAGAGACAATCTCTGCCCCCTAGACCCTCCTTTAAAGGCTCATCTGATCAGGTTAGGCCCCACCAGGATAGACTCTCATGTGATTAACTCAAAGTCCACTGGCTTGGGAACTTGATTTCATTTGTAAAATTCCTTCACCTTTGCCAACTAATGTAACCTAATCAAGAGTTCATGAGTTCTGCCTTCCCGCACTCAGAGGAGGGGATGATGTTGGGCTCGTGCACCAGAGGGTAGGAATCTTGGGGGCCGGTTTGGAATTTTGCCTACGAGAGGGGAAGCCCTGCTTCGAGAAAAGCAGAACACTGGGCCTGGGAGAGCAGCGAGAGGGAGCATGGAGTTAACAGGATGGAGTAAAGTCAGGCTTTGCCTTAGACTCTGCTCCAGGCGTTTGAGTGCCACTGGGGCTCCGGTGTTGAGCGATGGGTAACATGAGGCCTGTGTTCCATGAGCGTGACAGTGGCCACATGGTGTGTGGTGTGGGGGACTGCAGACGAGGGAGCCAGCTCGGAGGCTGCCGTGGTTGCGGGCTTGAACTGAGATGCTTGGAGCTGTTGGTCTCTGAGCAGTCTGTTAACTTCTCCAGGCCTGCTCTGACTGTTCAGACTTGCTCTCAGAACCCTGGTGTGTGTCTCAGCACTGACCCGCGGGTACACGTCTAGCAGCTGGCCTTCCAGAAGGAAAAAGCTTTACTTTAGTGTTGGCCGGGTTTTATAACACAGCTAATCCTGCTGTGGCCACTTTCAGGCTCCCAGCAGCATGTCTGTCCACTGGACATGAAGTTGGAAAGAGGCACAGTAAACCTTCCACCATATTCTACTGTTCAGACATGATAGATGTAAATAGCATTGAGCATAGATAAAATGTAGGGAAAACAATTGGGACAAGATGAGTTTTGCATTTTTATTACTTTAGTTTTTCATACAACATATTTATTTGTAAGTTTATGTAACTTTTAACAGTGGCTCCATTTAACAGCTAGCTGGTAACATTCCTGAAAATTTAGCAGTTGTTTTTGTGCACCAGCATGAGCAAACCCTTCACACTACTTCCTTATCACACGCTTGAGCAAGGTCTTTGGTTTTCTTTTGTGCACGTATCTTTTCCACTTTGCTGAGTTTCCCAAGGGTGAGGACAATTTATCTCTGTAACTTTGACCCCTAACAGAGTGTCTGGCCTATTACAGGTACTCAGTACATGTTTACTGAACTAATGTGTTTGAAATGAAAAACATCTTTTTGTCTTAAAGTGCCTTTTTTAAAAAGATTCCTGGGAAACATTCAGACAAATGGAAACAAATACGGAACTGTGAAAATGTCACAACTACCCGCTGTGTCTTTCCTCGAGATGCTTTCCCAAATGGAATTTACTATGTCCGTGTACAAGCATCTAATGGAAATGGTACATCATTTTGGTCTGAAGAGAAGAAATTTTATATTGAAATGAAAAGTAAGCCAATAGTTTTTATTTTATTTTGTGATTCTCCAAGTATGAATTCTTAACGATTGTTTTGTAGTCTAATTTGTACTTTGTGTCTTTACACATTTTTTTTCCTAGCTGTCATATTTCCTCCAGTCATCAGCTTGAAATCCATTACTGATGATTCACTGCATGTCAGTGTCGGTGCTTCAGAAGAGTCTGAAAACATGTCTGTGAATCAGCTCTACCCACTAATTTATGAAGTAATTTTTTGGGAAAACACTTCAAATGCTGAGGTAAATAGACTGTGTAGTACAGGTTTATAACTCAGAGTTATGACTATGATTTGAATAAGCAAAGCTTGAAGTTAAAATTGCAGGGAAATTTTTAAACTTTTAGGCTATATGATTAACTCATATATTTTCGACAGGAAGAAATTGGCATTTCATGTTTTACATGGTAAGAGTTACGGTCAGCTGCGTCTGAGCCCCAGTTAGTTGTTGTTGGTTTGGGGGGGTTTTTTGGCCTCACCAAGTGGCATGCAGAACCTTAGTTGCCTGATCAGGGAAGGGAACTTGTCTGCCCTGAAGTAGAAGCATGAGGTCCTAACCACTGGACCACCAGAAAAGTACCCCCAGCTACTTTCTAAAATTCAGATCCTGAGTTCATTTGTACTCAGTCAGAATCTCTGAGGGTAGAACTCAGGAATTTTTACCATGATCCTCAGGTATTCATGAACCAGGGTTTCTCAGCACTGCTGACATTTGGGTTGGACGATTAGTTGCAGGAGCTGCCTTGTGCATTATAGGATGGCGAGCAATACCCCTCCCCACTCCTCCCTAGGTGCCGGTAGCCCTCCCTCCCAGGTATGACAACCCAGACTACCTCCATGTAGTGCCAGACATCGGGGCACCTCCATGAGGACAAAAACTGGTTTTTAGGGGACAAAAGACTCTTGGCTGTTATCATGCTTTGTGACCCTAAAATTCAGAAACCACTGACAGGCTAATGTACATCAGATAATCCATATTATACCTAGATCACTTTTCCCTGTGGAATTACCGTCAAGGAATCAGCCTTTAAAAATCTGTACAGTTAAGTTGGTGAATTTTGTACCTTCATTTCCTGCCAAAGATCTACGGAAAGTCCAGTGATTCGGACACTCTCATTTCGCCTGTCTGAAGGCTGTGACCGTCGCGCAGGTTAGCCCTGCGCTGGGAAGAGCCCCTGGAGGAGGGAATGGCAACCCACTCCAGGACCCTTGCCTGGAAAATCCCATGGACAGACGAGCCTGGCAGGCTACAGTCCATGGGGCTGCAAAGAGTCAGACACAGCTGAGAAACTTCACTTTCACTAAGTCCTCCCTAGATCTGGAAAACCTGAATTTGTGTCTCAGACTACCAAATGGTGTAACCTTAGGCAAGGTGCTTAGCCACTGAAACTTCGTTTTCTCTTCTCTAAAGTGGCGGGGGTCATAGCAACTTAATTTTTTTTTAACAGATGTTTATAAGGTTTAAAATGAGGTAGTATTTATGGAAATACCTACCACATTGCTTGACAGATTGAGATTCAATAACCTTTGTTTGCCATCCTGTCTTATGCTGGGTAAGACATCAATAATTACAGTCATAATAACAGCTCATATTTATTGGATACTCATTATGTATCTGGTACCAGGCCAAGTATTTTATATGAATTGTCTCAGTCAGTCTTCCAAGCAACCCTGCCAGACAGTTGGATCGATTAAATTACTCTTCAGCAAATACTTGGGATGGAGTATCCATTACTGCTTCGCTGATGCTGGGCTGTATGCAGTGAAACTTGAGTGGATGTGGTATGACTGAGGCCTTAAGTGCACCTTTGTGTTTTGACTTGGCTCTTGCGCTTCTCCCATTTGCCAAGAGGAAAGCAAGCTCCATGTGGCCTGTGGGCCAAGGCGGACAAGAGATTGTGGAGCACACCTGAGTGTGATCCACTGCCTCAGAGAGAGCTCCCCCAGCCAATCCGCTCACGAGTAACAGAAACAAATACGTTCTATATACATGTGCGTGTGTGGCTGAGCCCCTTTGCTGTCCACCTGAAACTCTCACAGCACTGTTAATTGGCTGTACCCCAATACAAAATAAAAAGTTTAATTCTTTTGAAAAAAAGAAAAATGCATTTTGAGCCGGGGCTGTTTTGTCACACCACATTGCACACTGGTGTTTTGCCCTTGGCATGTTTTGTTACACCACAGTAACAGGACAAGCAACAGCTGGCTCATACCAAGAGGAGTAGTAATCTCCCTCACTTTACAGATCTGGGAATAGGGCCCAGGGAAATTAAATAACTCGCCTAAGGCTACATAGCTGTAAGTAACACCTTGATACAGGCAGTTTGAGACCAGACCCCCCTGCACTTAATTGTTCTGCCACTAACCAGAGAAAACGCGATGGTAATTCAGCCAAATCCGTATGTACTGATAAAATAACTTCGAGTTGTCTTAGGACTATATGGTATTCTTTTGGCAGCAGCATGTTTCACTTTTGAGTTTGGTAATTGTTTTGTTGTCCAAAATAAATTTATATTTCTTAAAATATACCAACCAAGTGTTTGGGAGAGGCTAATCTTAGAATGAATATATGAAGAATTCAGAAAACAAATATTCCCTCTATGATTTCTTGGGGTTCTAAATTTTATCAATGATTTACTTATTTTTTTATAGAGAAAAGTTCTAGAGAAAAGAACCGAATTTACCTTTCTTGACTTGAAACCACTGACTGTGTATTGTGTCAAAGCCAGAGCACTCATTGAAAATGACAGGCGGAATAAAAGCAGCAGTTTTAGTGATACTGTGTGTGAGAAAACAAAACCAGGTCAGGATCTTTTATTATACTTTTTCTTTTTTAATGTCACCAGATTTAATAAAAAATAACCAATTTGTTGAAACCTGTAAAATATTTGTGTTTTGCCGCAAAAATATAGAGAGTATTTTCTTCAACTATGTGAGTCAAAATCAGAGCTTCACACTGACCTTCACAAAACTTCACACTGAGTTTTAGAAAATATTTTTAATACTCAACTTAGTTCAGTGGTTTTTGCATGCTTTATATTTCATGCATACCCACATAATTAATTTCTTTTATTACTCTTAGAATTTAATGAGACTTATTTTTTATATAACCTTTGATATAATTATCATGTGGAAATCCCTTAGTTGTGAATTTTTTATGTTATTGGTATTATTTAACAGAATGTAAACTTCCTTTCACATGGCTGTATTTCTTTCACACAAACTGTCAGCAGTCTTAATGTAGTTGGGTGTCAAAACCTATATTGATGCTAAACACTATTTGTTTCTTTTTTAGGAGACACTTCCAAAACCTGGCTTAAAGCTGGAATTTGCACTGCATTGTTTTCTCTTCCTGTGGTCATTTATGTTGTGAGACTCTTCTTGAGAGGTGTCAATTATGTATTCTTTCCATCAAGTAAACCTCCTTCCTCTGTTGATGAGGTAGGTTACTTTTCTTGGTCAACAGCTAGCTGGATTTTTCTAAAAATGAAAGGGAAATATATTTGATTTCAACAGAATATAAATGTGTTCCTGATATTCAAAAAATAATACAGACTGACCTGGGTTTTTTCCTTCAGAGTTTCATAAAACTAACTTCAGAAGCAGTCATTTAATGGAATGTAACATGGAATAGTAGGATGTGTCCTTATTTTTCTGGCAGTGTAGCTGCTGTGGCACTTGTTTTACAACCTATATTCCCAAAAAGGTTAAAACATTGTTGCCAGTGCAAAAACTTTATTTTGTGGATGAAATCACAGAAAACAAGATAGAGAAACATGCATCTCCTCTCGCAGCACCTCGGTGTTTTGGTTGGCACGTCCTTGCTGTTGGCATAGTTATAGTGAAAGCACGAAGTGATGACCGTCAGCGTGGACACTGCCCTGAGGGGTGGCGTCTTCACCTGGACGCCTGCCTTGTTTCAGGTTCACAGGCTTTGGAGATGGAGGCTGTAGTGTGTTTGCACTCACTGGCTGTGAACCTGCGTAGCTCAGTTGTGAGCACTTGCGCAAGTGCCCGTAGCTATAAAGCAGCACCATCCTGTGGATCTGTGAGGGGCGAGGGAGGGAGACTAGAAAGACCCGCCACTGTGCCCGTGCTCTGTGCCCGCGTGCTGTTTCACCCTCTTATCCCTGAGTTTTCTAGTGTCATTTCTATATGCTCTTCTAATTCAAAGCTGTTCTTTAAAGAACTGTAAGATTAGCAGGTTACAGCAGCTCATTACTCTTAGCCCAACTGGCGAAAAGTTAACTTCTCCCTTGTGCTTCTTCTGGATGTTTTCGGATTGGGTACCAGCATTTTTATTATTTCACAATAAAATGTCCCCAACCCCAGTGCCCTCCCATTGCTTCCTTACCCACCACGCTCTTCCACCTCCTACCCCTCACAGCACAGTGGACTTCCTTAGAAACTCTTTGGATAATTCCCAGAACAGTACTGAGATGCATGTGACCTCACTGGTGGTGCTTTTATTCTAAACACGGTAGTGCAGTGGATATGCTCTTAGCTCGCTTTTTAATCTGCATGTCTAAAGATGGATAAAGGATTTAAGAAACTGAAGCTTATTGGAACTTGAAAACTACTTTTTGTTCTTTTAAATAATCTGTTTCTGTTCTTTCCCTTTTGAATTAGTATTTCTCTGATCAGCCACTAAAGAATCTACTCCTTTCTACTTCTGAGGAACAAACGGAAAGATGTTTTATAATTGAAAATGCAAGCATTATTACTGAAATAGAAGAGACTAATGAAATTGATGAAGTTCACAAAAAGTACAATTCCCAAACTAGTCAAGATTCAGGAAACTATTCAAATGAAGATGAAAACAGTGGAAGTAAAATAAGTGAAGAGTTTCTGCAACAGGACAGTGTGTGACCAGGAACAAACCCTAAAACATTAGGGAGTCTTGCAAGAGTCAGAGTGGGAGCCTGGGCTTTTTCCTCTTCTCAATAACTGTCAAAAGAAGTTTGCCCATGCAGAGGAAGAAAAACCGTCTTCAGATCACAGGTCCTAAAAATACAGGCAAGCCCTTCACTATTTAAAATGAGTTTCGAGAAGTTTTCTGGATTCTTTGCCGTGTGTCAAGTCTTGAAAGACCTGTCATTGGACCTGCCTTGGATGAGAGGCGTTAAATCAGGAAGAGGCCCTCTGGCTCCCTTGCGTTACCTTAAGCACCACTGTCCTGTCAGGGGTTTGGGGTGCTTGTGTTCCCGTCAGCTGGTATGGTCACTGTGCATCATCGTTCCTTCTCCCTCGCAGCATTACACTTCACTATTTTTCAGGAGGTATTTAGAATATTTGGTCTTGTTCAAAGAAGAACTTGAATACCACCATCACTTGATTTTCTGAAAAAATAGCTTACTCTGGAAAACAGCTGCAGATGCCAGAAACATGGTCCTTATAGATTTTCAGGGGAATTCTGTTTATACCAATCACATTTATACCAGTTGCAAGAGATGTGGGTTCAGTCCTTGGGTTGGGAAAATCCTTTAGAGGAAGGCATGGCAACCCACTCAAGTATTCATGCCTGGAAAATACCATAGATGGAGGAGCCTGGTGGGCTACAGTCCACAAGGTCGCAGAGAGTCGGACACGACTGAAGCAACTGGGCGTGCATGCATGCATACCAATTACATTAGCCTCTACATCACAGTCACCCATCCCTTCCACAGTTTAGGATTAAAACCATGTCATCTTTTGCTATATGTATGTTAAGCCTTCCTGTTTCAGAACATTAGGACAGTAGCTTCTGATTAGAAGGCATAATCCCTAAAATTACAGAGAAATGGGAAACAGTCTGAGTAGAGAAGTTACTGTTATCTCAAGATATGGGAGTGTGTGACATTAGTGACAGTGTATATAAAGTCTTGGGATCAGAAAATGCTACTGACAGAGTAGAGTGAGTCAGTGGGAAAGAAGCAGGTGGCTTTAGTGAAAAAGAAGAATGTGTATCGTCAACTTTTGATTGCTAACATCCTGAGGGGCGGCGTTTGCTTTCATGGCTATCTGTGTCATTTCTTAAGAGCAGGCCAGTGTCTGTCCACTGTGGGGCAGTATTCAGCTATCACTTCCGCTAGCCTGCATGCACTCAAGTTATTTATCATCAAAGTGTGGGAGGAAATGAACTAGGAAGGAAACCTAATTTTTTAAAATTATGTACTACCTCTTAAAGGCATCTATAGCTTATGTTTAAATGATTTTGCTATTTGGGCTTGTTCGTGGAGCTCCTGCAGAGAAAGGAAGCGTAGGAATTCTGGCTACCTCTGACGCCAAGTTCTCAGCTTCAGTCATTGCAGCGGAACTGAGAGGGAAGAGAGATGCCACCACCCAGCGCATCAGGTCCGGCTGGGCTCGTTTGGAGTAGTCTGCGGGGTCTTCTGGGTGGAAGAAGAGGTTGAAAGCAGCTGGGAAGGCCTGTGACACCCGCCTGTCCTCTCCAGAGCACCTTGTGTTCACTTGGGCCTCCCTTCAGCCCCTCGGGGAGCACACGGGTCGGGGGCCCCCACCAGGGCCATTCTCTGCTGCAGAATTCTTCCAGGGACCCAAACGCACCTCTGATCCTCTGACCAGAGGCGTTTGGTTTACAGCAGATCAGGGTTGGCCCTTCGCTGGGAAAGGTCCCGTCCATCCGTGGGAAATTGTCACTGTCCAGAGGACCCCGCCCCCGATGTCTTCTGCGCTGGGTCAGGGCTGCCAGCCTGCCCCGCACTCGGGCCTGGGATTTTCCCCAGGAAAAATGCTGCTTCGGACTAGGAACAGTGCCTTTGTGGGACGTGGCAGAGGGAAAACTAGGGCATTATAAGGCAGAGACGCTGCTGAATTCGCTAGGTCCCTGAATGTGGGAGTATGCGTGTCTTTGGGATTTAAGATGCCCTGTGGTTTTCAATGAACAAGCATCTGAGTGGCCTCGAACAAAAACCCCTCCGTTTTGCTGCATCTTGCAGACCTGAAAATGCAGTTCCATCCCATTCTTCATTGTAGTCCACATGTAGCTTAATCAGGATGTGTTTGCTTGTAAAATGGTATTTTTTTCTGAAAAAATAGTTTGCTCGCAAATACTATATACTTGAGAGCAGCAATAAACTTCCTCAGATCTGTGATACTGATAGCTCTTGGAGAGGCTGAATATAATCTAAGCATTTATGTAGAAGATTTGTGTCGTTACAGCCAGAAATCATGTATTCATATGTAATATAGATTAATACATAGTGACATGGATCTGTAAACATACATGTACACACGCATGATACTGGCTACTGTGCCACTAGTACATCCATAAAGACTTAGCATAGGTTCTAGTTAGAAAAGGGTAAATGCTGCTCTAGAACTATGAACTTCAAAATCTTGACCAGAAATTTGCAACATATGAAGTTAATTCAAAAATATAAATTTAAGGACTTCTTGGTGGTCCAGTGGGTAAGACTAAGCTCCCAATGCAAGGGCCCCAGGTTTGATCCCTGGTCAGGGAAACTAGATCCTACATGCCACAACTAAGACCCAGCACTTTCAAATAAATTTTTTTAAGTATATGTATAGAGAGAGTTTGTATAACATCTTTTCCTCAAACCTACCTTCAAAGCAGCCTCAGATTGCTCCTAAGAATTTGGAAGTGTACAGAAACTTTTCCTACCTCCTCCCCATCCCTGTAGCCCTTGTACTATGTGGCACGTTTGTGTTCGTTTCATCTGGTGTCTGCCCCTGCCCGGGGACCAGAAGCTCTGTGAGCCCAGGAATATACACTTAGCACTGTATCCCCAGTACCTACCAGAGTGCAGTGCCTCGTGCGGAAAAAGTGCATAGGAAATAATTGTCAAGTGACGGAAACCTAAAATTTGAACCAAGCGGGTGTTTCTGTTTGTGTGTCTTATTGAGGTATATAAGGACATGGCTTTATTTCCAGTGTTTCTATGAAAGCGCAGCCAGTGTTGCCAGTATTTGTATCTTCTTTCGTGTGTACTTTGTCTTAATGCCCACTGCCGTTCTTTTTTAAACAGTTTAACAGTTTCTGTAATAAACACTGAGGCCAAAAGTCTTGGGTTCCATGGTGGTTTTGCTTGAACTGATTGAACTTAAGCATCTCGGGTGCTGTGGCTGCTGCCTTCATGAGGTGTTCGTAACAGAGGGGGCTGGTCCCGTGCCGGGCGGGCTGCCTGGCATTGGTGTCCTGAAGGGGCCACCCCTGGGCGGGGAGCTCTCACACAATCTTTGCTTTTTTCCCACCGCCTCAGGTTTAGACTTGGCCAGGACACAGCCTTGAGCCAGTGGGTCTGCAGTCGTAATGCAGACCTTGCCCCCTCAAAGCATGCTGTTCCCTTTTACCAAGGTTTCTTCTCCGGATATGCTCTTGAAGGAGACTCCCCAGTCCCACATGTAAATTGATCTGAAGTTAAACACCATTGACATTCAAGCTGAGAACTCTCATCATGTGTTTTTAGTAAGCATCCTCAAATATTTTCCCAAAATGTACAGGGAAGTGAATGTTAATAATTTCATCTCTAATGCACAAGAGATACCCTGACACTAGTGACAAATACCCATAACATCCTTTTTTTTTTTCCACTTCAGAGGAAAGGCAGAAAGAATTGATACATCTTTCATGCAAAGGATATACAGTATCAGTTTCCTACCATATTCTGTCCCCACTAGAACTCATGTTCTAGAAGAAGCTATCTTCTGCATGGTAGCTCATGTCAACAGCTCATGGTAGTTGACTGACTGTGAAAAGAAAAAATGGGCAGAGTCGATATTCTGGCTTAGAAAAAGGTCTTGGGAAGAGGGAGAAAATGGAAAAATTCCGTCTCTCAGTAGCACTTATAAATTAAACATTTCTCAGTCTGCCCTAGTGGTCCAGTGGTTAAGACTCCCAGCTCCCAGTGCAGGGGGCAGGGGTTCAATCCCTGGTCGGGAAAGATCCTGCGTGGCATAGCCCAAGAAAAGTTACTCAATAAACATTTCTCCTCACAGTGACTTGCCAATCCCTCCGCGGTCGTACTTCCCCAGATTTGCTGGATCCATCAGAAGGAGCAGAGGGGAACGTGAGTGACTGAATAAGAAGAAAACATTTTCTTATCTCTCTGCTAGAAAGATGGACCATTTTTCCAAAAGACTGGATTTAGGCCTTAAATGTATGATAAAATAGCAAAGTGCCTTTTTGTGTACCACTGTCTGATCCAGATTTTATAGTGTTTTAATCTTCTGGAATTTAACTTTTAAAAAGACATAGAGAATTTCCTGGAGGTCCAGTGGTTAGGACTCCAAGCTTTTCACAGCTGTGGACCCAGGTTCAGTCCCTGGTCAGGGACCTAAGAGCCCTCATGCCGTGTGGAGCAGCTAAAAAAAAAAAAAAATTCTGAGTGTTTCAGAATAAAGGGGCACCATCCAGTCTGAAATCTTCCGGGAAGACCTCCACCATGTGCATACATGGAAGTCACCTTTGTGCCCACCTGTACCTTCAGAAATGGTACGGAGCTAACAGAAGGAGAAGATATTAAGAAGAGTTGGCAAGAATACACAGAAGAAATGTACAAAAAAGATATTCATGACCCAGATAATCACGATGGTGTGATCACTCACCTAGAGCCAGACATCCTGGAATGTGAAGTCAAGTGGGCCTTAGAAAGCATCACTACGAACAAAGCTAGTGGAGGTGATGGAATTCTAATTAAGCTATTTCAAATCCTGAAAGATGATGCTGTGAAAGTGCTGCACTCAATATGCCAGCAAATTTGGAAAACTCAGCAGTGGCCACAGGACTGGAAAAGGTCAGTTTTCATTCCAATCCCAAAGAAAGGCAATGCCAAAGAA